GTGCAACAACAAACACAACAGATTATAGATCATAATGGACAACAATAATTGTCAGGGCCCAGCTTGTAAAGGGAAAGGGAGGCAACATAAAACCAGATGTTTTTGGTATAAAGTTATATATTACCAAATGAAGTAAGGATTATTGTGACAAACAAAATATGAGGCAAACTACAACCAAAAAGGGCTTGTGGGTGCTGTTCAACTAAAAGAAATAAATATAAAAACAGGAGTTGCTAATCGTATCTAATAAAATCAAAAGCGGAAAAATAAAATCCTAACTATCCTGAATTACATGATGGCAATGAAAACAAAAGGAATGCTGAAATGTCAGTGCAAGTCAGTTTGTAAAATCTTAAACCAAGCCCAGTCCCAAAATAGCAAAGCTAGTGCCTCAGAATGATATTCTTGAGCAAATACAAATTTACCTATTAAAAAGCTCAATACACAATGGCAAGAGTTCTAAAAATGCACTTACTAACCACTTTATTAGGTACACCTTGCTCGCACCGGGTTGGACCTCCTTTTGCTTTCAGAACTGCCTGAATTCTTCGTAGCATAGACTCAACAAGGTGCTGGAAACATTCCTCAGATATTTTGGTCCATATTGACATAGCATCACACAGTTGCTTCAGATTTGTCAGCTGCACATCAATTATGCAAATATCCCATTCCACCACATCCCAAAGGTGCTCTATTGGATTGAGATCTGGTGACTGTGGAGGCCATTGGAGTACAGTGAACTCATTGTCATGTTCAAGAAACCAGTCTGAGATGATTTGAGCTTTGTGACATGGTGCGTTATCCTGCTGGAAGTAGCCATCAGAGGATGGGTACACTGTGGTCATAAAGGGATGGACACGGTCAGCAACAATACTCAGGTAGGCTGTGGTGTTTGAACCATGCTCAGTTGGTACTAAGGGGCCCAAAGTGTGCCAAGAAAATATCTCCCACACCATTACACCACCACCAGCAGCAGCCTGAACCGTTGATACAAGGCAGGATGGATCCATGCTTTCATGTTGTTTACGCCAAATTCTGACCCTACCATCTGAATGTTGCAGCAGAAATCGAGACTCATCAGACCAGGCAACATTTTTCCAATTTTCTATTGTCCAACATTGGTGAGCTCATGTGAACTGTAGCCTCAGTTTCCTGTTCTTAGCTGACAGGAGTGGCACCTGGTGTGGTCTTCTGCTGCTGTAGTCCATCTTCTTTTAGGTTCAATTTGTTGTTTTTTCAGAGATGGTCTTCTGCATACCTTGGTTGCAATGAGTGGTTATTTGAGTTACTGTTGCCTTTCTATCATCTTGAACTAGTCTGGCCATTCTCCTCTGATCTCTGGAATCAACTAGGCATTTTCTCCCAGAGAACTGCCGCTCACTGGATATTTTCCCTTTTTCCATCCTCTGTAAACCCTAGAGATGGGTATGCATGAAAATCCCAGTAGATCAGCAGTTTCTGAAATACTCAGACCAGCCCATCTGACACCAACAACCATGCCACGTTCAAAGTCACTTAAATCACATTTCTTCCCCATTCTGATGCTCAGTTTGAACTTCAGCAGGTTGTCTTGACCATGTCTACATGCCTAAATGCGTTGAGTTGTTGCCATGTGATTGGCTGATTAGCTATTTCCGTTACCAAGCAGTTTAACAGGTGTACCTAACAAAGTGGCTGGTGAGTGTATTTAACAAAGAAATGGTGTGTTTTACAGGCTTTTTTTAGGGCACAAAATGTGCAGTTGAACAGGTATTGTGTACAATCTGCTGGCGCCACACACACACACAGCCCCGAGTGCTCTGATTACCACTGGCACCACTGTTGCCTTTACTTCCCACAACTTTTCTAGCTCTTCTTTAAGCCCTTGGTATTTTTCAAGCTTCTCCTGTTCCTTCTTCCTGATGTTGCTGTCACTCGAGATTGCAACGTCTATCACCACTGCCTTCCTCTGTTGTTTGTCGATCAACACAATGTCTGGTTGGTTTGCCATCAACAATTTGTCCGTCTGGATCCGAAAGTCCCAGAGGATCTTAGCTCGGTCATTCCCAATCACTTTAGGAAGTGTCGTCCATTCTGACCTTGGGATGTCCAAGGTCAGAATGGACGACACATATACAGTGGTGGAAAAAAGTTTTCGGACACCCTTAAAATTTTACACAGTCTCAAATATTATCATGAAATATTTGTGGAAAAATCTTTTTTGTGTTTCAAAAGGTGTGGCTGCATTAAACAGATACAAACAAATACAAATTATATTTTTTTGTTTATTGTTTACAAGAAAAACTAACAAAACTAAATTCTTGACAGTTTCAATATGTCAGTTTTCAACATTGTCGGTATCAAAGTCAACAAATAACAGAGAATGTGTTCAAAACTGAACAAAAAATAAATAAACCATCACATCATCAAATTAATATTTAGTAGTCCTGCCATTGGCACGTAGTAGAGCTCTAATCCTGGCTGGCATGTTCCCCACGAGCCTTTCACACTGTTGAGGGGTAATCTTGTCCCATTCTTCTTGAGTTACTGCTTTTAATTCTTCTAAATTCTTTGGTTTATGCTTTGAAACAGACCTTTTGATAATCCACCACAGATGTTCAATGGGGCTCATGTCCGGGGATTGAGCTGGCCACTCTAAGACCTGGATACTGTGCTCCTGCAGCCAAGTTCTACTGGCCTTGGATGTGTGGCAAGGGGCATTATCTTGTTGAAACATCCAGTTTTTACCTCGACGGAACAGTGCACGCGCAGAAGGGAGCATGTGGGTTTCGAGAATGGTACAATACTTGGTAGAGTTCAATGTGCCATCACAGACAGTGAGATGACCAACACCAGCAGCACTCATGCATCCCCAAACCATGATACTGCCTCCACCATGCTTGACAGTAGGTACTGTACATGCTGGAGATAATGCTTCGCCTGGCCTTCTGTGTACCCTCACATTAGTAGGAGGAAGATAAAGCTGGAAAGTGGACTCATCTGACCACAAAATCTTCTTCCAATTCCTGGCTGTCCAGTTCTTGTGTGCCTGGGCCCAACGATGCCGGGCTAACCTCTGTCTCTCATTGATCAGGGGCTTCTTGATAGCCTTGTAGGACCTTAAGCCATGATCTAAAAGTCGGCCACGTACAGTGCTGGTGGAACACTGGACACCAGTTTGGTTTGACCACTGCTGCTGAAGCTCCTGTGATGTCATTCGGCGGTTTTGCCTGCACATGCGGATCAGGATGCGGTCATTTCTTGCTGAAGAAACCCTTGGACGCCCAGATCTTGGTTTGTCTTCCAAGCTGTTGGTTCGTCTGTATTTCTGCAGAGTGTATCCAACTGCTGAAGGACTGCATCTGCACTTCCTGGCTATCTGGCAGCAGCTGTACCCTTCCTGGCTGAGAATCTTTATCTTCAGGCGTGTTTCCTGCGTTAGGTTCCTTGTTTTAGCCATTTTTGTGTCTGAAGATCTTTCAAATGTGCTGGCTTTATGTAGACACGAAGCTTGGCAACAAAAATTGTGTCTTTTAATAAAGAGAACGACCTTCATCACTGGTACCAAAATGACCCAATACTCAAAATTTCTTATGTATTTTTATGGAACCAATCAATTTTAAGTTTTTAATGGCTTTTTTAGGATTTATTTAGTATGTTGTTTGTGACTGTACTAAAAGAAATTGCACTTGAAGACCTAAGAGTGATTCTTAATGCAATATTTCACAAATGCATGGGGTGTCCGAAACCTTTTTTCCACCACTGTACATATATATATAAATTGCCATTGCAACGTCCTCTTTTGCCCGGACATGTCCACTTTTCACGTCCCGTCCGGGGTGTCCGGGGGGTTTTTATAAACTGATGATAATGTCCGGTTTTCCGTGTGTTTGTGTGTGTGTGTGTGTTAGGGTGCGGCACGGGAAGCATATTTCTGTCCGAACCCGAACCGAGCCCGACATTATTTAATGACCAAAGCACTGAGTTTGTGTCACACAGTGGTTACAGGCTATTTAAGAGGCCGGGCGTGCGCCGTGGGTGCTCAGCTGTGGAGAGGGAGACTTCCGTGTGTGAGACGGGAGCGGGCGGCGCGAGGTCCGACGCTTCCAGCGAGAGGAGAGGGAGAAATAAAACGAAATAAGATAAAATAGGAAAAACCTGTCTCCCTCTTTTATTTTATTTTCAGCGTTTAATCAAGGCGGAGGCTGGCGGAGGAGGTCCTAGACTTCCAGAGAGGGGAGAGGTAGACACAAACAGCCAGTGTGTGTCTGTGTGTGTTATGTTCAGGTGTTGTCACGTAAATAACAGTACCCAAGCAATAAACAGGACAGACAATAGGATTTTATTTATTTTTATACTACATTTTCACTGAAAGCTGACCAAATCCGACCCGAGCCCGAATACAATTTATAGCTACATTTTTGACCAAACCCAGCCCGACCTGTCGAGTACCGTCGGGTTCGGATCGCCACACTCTAGTGTGTGTATGTGTCCCCTATTGGGGCCTATCTGAATTTCTGTCTTTGAGAGGTATTATTTTGTAATATAACTGATTGTTCTATCCATACATATAAATTTTAAATATATTAAAATTATAAGGCATCTTTGAGTAAACTGCGAGTATCATTTAAGTAGGCTATGTCGTGGCCGGCCGAGTGTCCTCTTTTTTGGAAATCAAAATATGGTCACCCTAATATAGGCCTGTAATTACTACATTCCTGTTTAAAGTCAGTATATTGTTATATGTTATAGTTTATCCCTATATTATAACTTGCACCATTGTATGTCTTCTTTTGTGATTTTCTTTTTATACATATTCATTGTTAAAGGGAGCCTGAGATATGTTTGCTTTTCTCAAAGATGACTGCTTCTCTGTAATTGTTGTGCACAGGACAATAAATAGCTTGAAACGGCATTTCTTGTGTTTTGTCGCCCTCTTGCGGCCAATATGGGAAGTACATACAGTAACCTGCAGTTTCACATTTGGTCCACTAGGGGCGCTGTCGTGAATGCGGAAGCAAAAACCACCCAGAGGAAAAGGGAGGAAGTCAGGAGGCTGCCTGTCTGTGACAGCCGTATCAAAGAAAAGCACAGTAAAAAAAAAGGCCGGACTTGAGCTTGAACTCTTGTCCTTTTCGGATAGAAATAGACTCCTAAACCCGCCACCGACATGTCGAAGAGCACCACGGCCGCCCGCTTCAGGCGAGTGGACGTGGACGAGTACGACGAGAACAAATTCGTGGACGAAGAGGACGGAGGAGAAAACCAGCTGGGTCCCGACGAGGCAGAGGTGGACTCCCTCATCAGACAATATCCTTCACATGATTAGCTAGCCTGTCTGTTAGCATACACGGTCTGCTACGAGAACAGGCACAGTCCGGTGTATGTATGTGTGTGTGTGTGTGTGTGCGTATTTTGGGGTTCAGTTTATCAGCATATTTCCTCTCTGTCTGTATAAATGTTGTCTCTACATGGGCGTTTTGCAAGTAGGCCAGTCACTGTCCAGACTTGCCTGGCAGTCACATTCCAGGGATTTCTGCTCCAAGACAGAACAGGCTTGTATGTATGTGTATTAACTGCAACCCAGTGTGCATTTGCATCACTACAAGTTCTCAATTCAACCCTAGAAAGCCTTTATGGACTGCTGTGACCTTAAATATCTGTGCAGCTTCATTGTGTTTCAGTACGTTAGTTTGATGAGAGGAGTTTTGCAGAAGCAGGAGGTTTAGCTCATGTGCCAAAATATCTGTTTTCTTGTTGATACAGCAGTTATATTATGGGTGTGAGTCTGTGTATAGAGGCTTTGAGGTGCTTCTGTAAAGTCTGCAGCCAGCAGTTTCAGTCTTATAGGCCTTATAAGGCATAGAAGAGCCGCACTTCCTCATTGAATAAGACGGTTTCCTCCCACCTCATGCAACAGTGAAGGAGAAGTAAAGGTTCGCATTTTTTCAAGTCTGACATCAACCACACTTAAAATATGAACAGGAAAACCAGACTGACGTGCCTTTATGTACAGTCCCGTAGGGCACGCTGCTCATACTGGTTTTCACTGGCTGTGAGGAGCGTGAATTGCACTCTTTGTGTAACTAGTTAAGCAAAGACGGAAGTTAGTACTGAAAGGACTGCAACAGTGGAGTATCTTTTATTAGTCTAACTCAAGAGTACTGAACCCTTACGATACTTCCTGCTGAACATTTTAGCATGCACTTTTTTCCAGAACTGAGAGCTGTGGCTTTGCCATCAGCTACATTCAAGTTGCACATCAGCAGCTCAGGATTATCTTTTACAATGTAGATATGGATACGAGAGTATTGTTTCAAGACAGACTTGAAGGTGGTCATTTCTATCATATTAAAGCACATTTCAGAGCAAGTGAACTCAATGTGCTTTACATTAAAATGTGCAACCCCCCACCCACAGCCACGCTGCATACTTGAATCGCACAGACATGCACAGACACACACCTACAGTATCTAATCATAAACCTGAAGAAAACTGAAGAAGCTAATGCTCATAAACACACAGAATTGTGGTGGCTCAACACTGTGCTTGTTATGTCATATTTGGGCTTGTAGCCATTATTGTGATAAGGAGGTCTGTCCCTGCTGTGCTGTGTTGCATCCTTAACCCTCCCTGCACAGGAAATCTCATGGAGGCTTTACATGCAGTCCTGAAGAACCCGCCAATCAACACAAAGAACCAGAACGTCAAGGTGGGTTTGTTTTTCTTGGTCAATAAGGGCTTGAGCGTTTGCCACATTCTTGTTTCTGTAATGAGTCACTTTGTGGGCTTTTTACACCCTTGAATGATTAAATTACTGAAGACATTTGTGAGAAGAGGTTACTTGAACATATTTAATGTAGAGATATTCTGTCGTGATACTCATATTGTAGCAGATCTTGTGTAGTTGTAGACCCATGGCTGTTTTAAACATGTCAGTATCTCCTGATGTAAATGCATCATTCTGAAATGCATCTTAAATCTTGTGGCAGAGTGTTTACGAAGCAGCCAGTTTTGTTTTACTTCATTATGCAAAGGAATTATGTAATATCCATCCATCCAAACAGCCTGAGATGTGGGTTGTGATTCAGAGGTCTGGAACAAGGCTAATAGTAACTCCTGTCTTCACACATCTCTCCTTTTCTTGTCAGGATCGTGCTGAGGGTTTGGTGCTGAAGGTGCTCAGCGCCTTTAAGAGCAGTGACATTGAGAAGGGAGTGCAGTCCCTCGACAAGAACGGCGTGGACCTGCTGATGAAATACATCTACAAAGGCTTTGAGAGGCCGTCAGAAAACAGTAGCGCGGTTCTCCTGCAGTGGCATGAAAAGGTGAATATTTACAGTTCATTCACATAATCTTCAATCAAACCTAAAACCCCTTTAGACAAATTATTAATTTGTAGATAAAACTGGATTGACTAGAGGGAGAAGCTGACATTTGAGATGAAGGTGGTAAGCAAGATATAAATGAAAGCACCTCCAGGGCAGCTCAAACATGAAGTCCATGACGTTGGCTTTACTTATGCTGGCCTTACACCAAATGACTTTTCAAGCAATTTCACTGTTGCAGACAAATTTCCAGTGTCGGGCAAAATCCTTATAGTTTTACCTCAGTTGGTGTGCACTCCTATGGTCATTATTTGGTGTAAGATGGTCACAAAACTCTGTCTGAGCTGTCTCACGTTAGTCTTTTTTCTAACTTGACATTCTGACAAAATCAAACATGTTTAATATTATCGGAAGTTTTTAGTTGTAGCTCATGCAAATAGTGAAGATAACTGCACTCTTTCCAGAACCAAACAAGTAGCAGCAAACCGAAAGGCAGTAAAGGTGGAGGGTGTCGGTTCTCAGACTGAAAAAGAAGGAGGAGCTTTGGAGTGAACAAGAGTTGGAGATTAGTTTAGCATGTATCTGAGCCATTAACCAGCACTTATTTTAGTGAGAAATCCTCTTTTTTTAATTGGTTTGCCTCTCATTTCCATGGTCTCCTCCTGCTAAAAAAGCACTGCTAACCAACAGGAGCTGGTGGTGAGTTGAGGCGACAAAATCTAAAATTTAAAGTTTGTGTGCAAGTACAGTCTATCTTCATGGATTCTTTTGATGCCAAATTTACAAGAATACGCTTGACATATGCTGCCTTTTATCATGTGTTTTTAGAGTTATGTGTTTTTGCAGACATCTAAGGAATTGTTAATGTATCATACTACTTAAAGGGAGTTTGGTGCAACATTTCCCACCTGGAGCAAAATGGGAAATTTTCTTAAAATGAATCTAGTCTTAGTCTTGCAAATAGTGACCCTACAAGATCCCCCGTCCTTTCAAAATCTTATAGTATGTGACTAAAAACACACACTGTCTTTAGATGTGAAAGGGGGTCACACGTATTTTCAAAGTATTTTCAGTCTTGTAGTGTCTTATAGACATTAGATGTAGCTTTTCGAAATACTTTTACATGGAAGAAGAATAATCACTGTTTATAAATGGTGACATTGATGATGATGATCAAGAGTTCTCAAATAATATATTAGACTGAAACGGCTGGTTTGAGATGGCCTGAGTTTGGCCACAAGATGCCACAACTCTGAAGACAAGATGAGCTGTTAGATTTCAACAGAGACTCAGTTTCAGCACTAAATAAAAAAGCCTAACCACATTTCTTCCTCTTGTATCTTCAGGCTCTGGCAGCTGGAGGAGTGGGCAGCATCGTCAGGGTACTAACAGCGAGGAAGACGGTCTAAAATAGGAGCGGAGGATCAGCTTGCTCCACATCACTGACAGATACAGGGGGGTGCACTGTACTGTACTGTACTGTTCATGTAATCATAACAGATGGCATCGGAACTAAAAGGAAAAACAGATTTTTTTAACCCAATGTGATCCTGCTGCTGTTCAAGGCTAAACAAATCAAATCTGGGTCACATTCGGTTAAAAACGTGTCTTTTCTTTCTGTTCATGATCACAGCCGACTGAATCGTGTTCCTCACAGGGTGCTATAGATAACTTTGCATCTCATGTGTCTGTGCTGCTTCCCCGATCTGTTCACAGTATCGTCATTATTATCATGTCATTTCCATACAGTGTGAGCTCATTGTACACATCAGTGGTTCCCAACCTTGAGGAGATAAACCCAGAAAACACATATTCCTGCTATACAATTTATAACAATCTTCTTCCTCCAATCTTTGCTTTTTACCTCTCTTATTGGTCACAAGCCAAAAAGGTTGGGAGCCTCTGCTGTATCCACACAGTCACAAAACACACTTGTGCTCAATCACAGGCATATATCATTACTTGACTGACTTCCACACAAACACACAGAAGGTTTCAGCTTTGCTTCTCTCAGGAAAACTCTCTCAGTATTTGTTTTTTCATCATTCTCCTGTGTTATCTCTCCAGTGGAGACTTCCTGATGGAATAAAAGCCTGATTCTCTGTCAGTAAATCCTCTCATTGCCTGTCCCTGTAACACTCTAGCAGTGGGAGGCTCTTGAAAAGCACAGTCACAGATGGAGGGTGGTGGATATGCTCACGGGGGTCGCTATTTACCCTGTGGAGCGGGAGGAGGGTGGACGGAGGGGGTGGGGGGGTTGGTGTCATCCATCCATCCTTTCACGCTGCCTGCTGCCCCAGTTAAGGATTATTACCCACGATGCATCTCCACCACCACTCTTATTAATCCCATTTCATTGTTCCCCACGTCCCTCGTGTGTCTGACTCTCTCATGCACCCTCTGCTACTGCGCAGGGCGTCATGCAGCTCTGCTGGTTCTGTTTATAGGAGCTGCATTTTTTTCTGTACTTTCAGGAAAATGGCACGTCACCCTGAGCATCCTGTCTCAGATAGCTTTTTGTATTTAACAGAAAAAAATAATCTAGGATTAAACATTTTCCTCACGGTTTTGTTTTATAGTGATGATTTTTGCCTCAAGGCTGAATCTCTAAATGATGGAAATTAAAAACCGCTTTAAGGTTTAACAATGTCAGTGTTGCAGGAGAGACTAAGATAAAATCATGATTATTTTGTCTCTGGAAATGGCAAAGAAAGTTTATGTGATTTTAAAAAAAAATATATATTGTTTGCATGATCCCACTTTTGAGAATATTTTCTCAAGCATTTCATACCTGTCTTTTCTACATGTCATGTGTTTCTTCTGGGTTTAAATTTCCGCTCATTTAAACATCCTCCACACATGGTGTTGTCTGGCAGTAGAAGTCACACTGTTAGAACCATGTTTGCTTTTTAATTTCCACACATTTTCCAACATGAGGAGGGACACTGGAAATGTTTATCTGCCTTATCAGGTAGAAAACATCTGTTGCCAAACGATTTATTTTGCTTTCATGGAAATATTGTAGCTCAAATTGATGGTTTTGTTGCCCCTGTGTATTAGAGAAGAATCTTTCAAAGTGGTGGAGTTGTAACTATAAACAGTATAAACAGCAAAGTGTGTTACGGTTAAAAAAGTTTCCGTTTTGAAAATACTACGTAGTGATCAGGGAAATTCAGTTCCAGCATGTTTTGTTCCTGCTCATTTCCAATCAGACACTGAGTGGAATTTCTCAATGTTGCTTTTTCTAAAAACACACACGTCACAGTTGTGTTTTACTCACCGGTTGATATTTAGACATGGGTTATCATGTTTGAATACCGTCATCAGTGATGATGCATCCAGACATTAGATTCCTTTTTCTAATGCAGTAACGTCTAGTTTTACATGAAAACAAGATTCCGTCTCCTGCTTCATGTATTTCTAGTCAGAGATGCTCTTCTAGATGAGATCGAGAAGACGAGGGAGCATACCAAACTGATGTACAAACTGCCTTACTCGATATTCCTTTTTTATGTTTGTGCTTTTTTGACAAAAAAATAAAGGTATGAATGCTGATCATAACTTTGTCACGACTTCATGTTTTACATGCACATACCAAGTTTTATGAATACAAGTTAGTGTCTTCATCACTGATAAAATTGGAGTTTTGGACTTAACGTGCATTCAGAAAGTATGCAGGCCTTACATTTGTTCACATGGTTAAGTTGCAGCCTTGTGTTGTTTTTTATTCTTTAAGAAAATGTAGTAATATTTGCAATTCTTTTTAAAAGAAAACTTAAATATCACATTGACATAAGTAGTCTGCAGTCCTGATTTTCCTTTATGGGTATCTCTGTACTTTGCTTCATTCAGCTTTCCCCTGCAACCACCATGCTTCACTGTTATTTTCTCACAGTCTTGAGAGTCCTTCAGCTGCTTTTTTGCAAACTCAGAGTGAGCTTCCTTGTATCTTTCCCTGAGGAGAGGCTTCTGGTTGGTCACTTTGTTATAAAGTCCAGATTGATGGTGTTACAGTGATGTTTGTCTGGAAATTTCCCCCATTTCTGACCATCGTGCTCTTGGTCACCTCTCCTACCAAGGCCCTTCTTTTCTGATTGTTCAGTTTGGCCACAGCCAGTTCTAGTAAAAGGTCCTGGTTGATACAAACTTCTTCCATTTAGGAATCATGGGGGCCATAGTGCTCTTGGAAACCTTCAATGTTGCCTACATTTTTTTGCTGCCTTTCTCAGATGTGTGCCTCAACACAAACCCGATTCTGAGCTCTGCAGGCAGTTCCTTCAACATCAAGGCTTGATTTTTGCTCTGAAATGCATTGTCAGCAGTTAGAGTGTATGCAGACAGGTGTGTGCCTTCCCAAATCATGTCCAATTAATTTAACTGACCACAGGTGCACTCAAAGCAAGGTGTAGAAACATCTCAAAGACAATCAGGAGAAATGGAAGGCGTCAGAGCAACATGTATACAGGGAAATAGCAATGGATCTGCATAGTTATATGAATGTGATTTTTTTTAAAAATAAAATTGCAAACACTTGTAAAATCCTGTTTCTGCTTTGTCGATATGGAGAACTGACTGTAAATTATGAGGCAAAACACTGATTTAAACGTTAACATGACAATGTATACCAATATCTGAAAAAAAGCAAAGTGAAAGTTATGAGTAAAAATCCTTCGTTTTAACTCCTACTCTCAAATTTAAGAATTCAAGTACATCCCAGATGGCTGCCGCACAGACAGAGGTGAGCACACACCTACTGAGAGTGACTACAAAACATCATCGGTCATGATAATACGTAGGCTGATGCCTCATTTACAATTCAGAACAGAATAGGTTGGTTACACCACTTTTTTTTCCTTGTTTTGCCTTTATCAGGGGTGCAAACAAGAATAAAGTTTATATTACTTTTCAGCCACTTTGGCACTTCTTCATATTCTGAATTGTGGTACCAGATTCTCCTTAAGATATCTTTGATTGTTTGTGTCTACCAGCTGTTTCCATTTCAGCCAATTTCCCATTATTTCATCACTATTTATATATATACAAAATAAATATAGTAAGATTGTTGTTAATTAAACACGTGATTTGCTACTGGAGATAGTGAGACATTAACCCAAATAAAACTCTTAAAGATTACAATTAGAACTTGTTTGTTTTGCATAAACAATATGAGGATTAAAAACATGTCAGGCACATTGACTATAATCATGTGATCACTTGACCTTGATATAATCTACTCCCAGATGTGACTAATAAGGATCAGTGCTGTTTCATGTAGCAGCGCTGCAGACATACATTATGCTTAATTTCAGCATATATTCATTTATTACATTTTTATTACAAAATGGATACAATAAGTACAGTATGGCAATACATTATGAGAAAAAAACATATGTACAAGTCATAAAAATAAAATACATCTTGACATCAACTACAGGATGGAGCAGTATATGGCACATTGATGATGTAATCAGTGTAATGATGAGACAGGGTTTTTATCTGATGCACTTGTGTGTGTATGATGGGCCGCTACCTGAGGATGCAGAGTACGTGACAGTCAAGTTATCTAATCGCCAAAATGAGCACCATATCTGTGTAGTCACAACTCCACTGTGGTGACTGGTGACACAAGGACTAAACAAAGGTGGGAAGTGCCCATTCTTTCTTGTTCAAGCACTTCCCAATAAGTTAATAATAGGTAGATGTAAATAAAAGGCTAGATAGGATTTCTGGAGCAGGGTTGAGTCCTACTTTTGGAGCCGGCAATGGACGGCTCTGAGGAGCAAAATCTTGTTGATCTTATACATACATCTGAAGGGACGGGGGAAATGACAAGGAAAAGTATCAAACATTTCAAGGAAACAGTCCCGACAGACTGAGGTGAGGACTCCAGAGATTACAGCCAGTTCCATCCAAGCCACCCGTTAACCTCCAGTGGTCTGTATTGTATCCACTCTGAATCTACTTCCTCTCATCTTCAGGGCTGTATGCACTCACTGACCTCTCTCACACTGAACACACAGTCTTTTTCAGTTTGTTTACTGATGTGGTTACTTCTCCAAAAACCACACAGGACACAATTCATCACCTTTGTCTCGCATCATTTAAAGTGCTCTCAGTAGGGGTAGGCAGAGACGGCGATATAGACGATAAAGGTCGTCTGGTACTCGATGCCTCCGTCTGCGCTGTAGGAGAGGGCACGGACCTTCATGCGGTACGTGCGGGGCTCTCGAAGGGCCAAAGTCGTAAACAGCACCCCCTTCAGGTTCTCGTCTCGCAGGGCAAAAGGTAACGTGACGTCCTCGTCCACCACTAGGAAGCTGGTCCTGGGGTGCATCACGCCGTCCTGAGTGTAGGCCACCAGTCTGATGAGGTCCTGGTTGGCTGCAATACCAAAGGGAAGAGACAGTAGCTTGTACTCCAGGGCGTAAGGGCTCAGTGCACACTCCAGGTCGTTTGGCGGGCAGTTCTTCAGGCAAAACCTAAACACAGCATAAACAGCAGATTTCAGTGCACTGTGGGAAAGCAGAGAAATGATGAATACTATCTGAGCTAGATAAATAGATAGATTAACTTTATCATTTAAAGGGAAATTGCAACTATCTATTGTGCATAGTTAAGATTAATTTTTGAAGAAATTATATACAAACCAAAAATGCAGTTTACAAGCTTACTGGCACTGGAATATGTCTGAATTGTACTGTATTTATGTTTATATTCTTTGGCACAGTTATCATGATGGATAAAGAGAAATGTTTGTTAACTATTTTCATGTGCACCATTTTCCATTCTGCTGGGGTGGCGACAAAAGTCCAAGCATCATTTGTCTCTCAAATTACCTGCATGATATGGTACCACAATGACTATGTGAAGAATTTTTTTTTTTTTTTGATGAACTGATCCTTTAAAGCAGGGGTCTTCAACGTTTTTTTTGGCTCCTTGGCTCAAAGATATACAGAGCAGGGAGTCCCTGAGTTGCGTTTGAGATAATTCTCTGAATATTTTCAGGCCTTCTCTTGTCTGTTTTAACCTGTAGCTTATAAGTCAGCAGCAGCTGTAGCATGGCTAGCTGCATTAGCCTCACCCTCTGCACTTACGGTGGTGGTTTCTGTGGGGAACCATATTTCAGAGTCTCTTGCTCGAAAAGTTACAAAGTGATACATTGCAGCTCACAAGAACATTCGGAATAATGATACAGATAATAGGCCAATATGTTTCAACAACGTAATGTAAATGTTAGCTAATCAATTCATCTTGTGGTTAGGGATGGGTGCCGCATAGTGATTAGTGCTAGCTATCTTACAAGATTGCACAAGGATTCATGGGTAACAGTTAACAATTATGTTGTGTACTGTAAATTAAATGTAAAATAAATTATCAAACAATAATTTGGCGGCCCTACTTAAGTCACTCTGAGGACTCCTAGGGGCCCCTTGTTGAAGATCCAGGCTTTAATATTTAAAATGATCCAAAAACACAAACTGCTCCATAACTGTAAATCTCCTAGATTGAACCTATATTTTATTTTGTTGTCATATTTTATCTCTTGAAAGTGGAAACAGACAACTTCTCAGCTTTCCAAGTGGTATTACTTTCAGCACCACAGTCAACTCAGACAACCAGATCGCTTTGCATTTTCCTGTGAGCCTCGCAACTACCACAGTTTCCACAGTTCCTACTGTTGTTCCACCATCCACCACTTCCACCACTGTGGACAGTAACTGCAAAGAACACTGATACTCTTTGGTAGCTGGGGATAGCTACCAATCACTACTGGGTAAAACAAAACTGTTACCCTCTTCCTGTTGTAGTTGCGCAATGGTTGACACACTTCCTCTGTGCTATAAATTGAGCTTTCATTTTCCCAGGAGATCATACCCAGTGACAGACAGAATTGCACAGTGAAAGTGAAACTTATAGAAGCCAATCTAAAGGCAGATAGTGTCATTATTCTACAGCCATTACATTGTGTGATCAACACTTATTTCATAAAGATAGGTTGAGCAATTTCCACTTTAATGGATAGATCCTCACTGAGTGTATTTCTGTGAAGGTTTACCCTGTGGCTGGATCCCTCTGGTAGTTTGGTGGACAGGGTGTGTCAATACACTGGTAACTGCCTCTCATGTTAAAGCACATCTGGTTTGCGCCACACTGGATGTTCTGCTCCAGGCACTCGTCAATATCTGCAGATGCACCAAACAGCTTATCATTATTATAGAATGATGATGTCACAATGACAGTGACATCACAGTGACAATGATCTGTTAAAAGAAAAATGATGGGTGATTGAAAGAAAGAGGTGGTAGCTGGTGTTTCTCACCTTGACATGTCTTGCCATTAGTCATGAGGCGGTAACCAGGGGGACAGAGACACCTGTGGCTCCCTGGTGTGTTCATACACTCATGCTGACAGGCGTCCCTCACCTCACACTCATTTATGTCTGTTGGTGTCCCACAAACACACACACACACACACACACACAATGATACAGAGAAAATGAGAGCATAAACGATGCATTAAGATATATTTTTAAAGCTCACAGCAAGCAGCAAAGCAAAAAG